CGGCATTCTGTGTGAAGGAACTTCTTCCGGAACTCTTCCATTAGTTTCCTGGGTAATCCTCCTACGCAAGGACCCTGTTTTCTTGTCTTGTGAACCGTGGATGCATGTGTACTGAGTGATGCGATCCATCTTTTCCTGTGCACGTCTCATTTTTGCACCTTCCACAGTGAATGCATGTAGAGAATGAGTGACTCTTTTGTTGATTCGACGATTGTCGTCGGGATTTTATTCGAAAATGCAAGAGTGTTTAGATCCGTAGCTCTGTTTACACTGCGCATGTCATCTACCTTATGATGCACGACATCAGCAGCCGAGTCACGAGGCGGCCCTGAGAAACAAGGCGCCTTGGGACCAACGTTGTGTTGGGCTGATTGAACCCGTAGCCATATGCGTGATCAAGCTGATCTGTGTTTGCTCTCTCTCTCTCTCACTCATGTTTAGAAGGATTGATTGAGGATTGCGCGAATGATTTCTGTTTTTGATGACGTATCGGGATATTTGTGATTGATGGATATGTGGACTGACAAGCATCCTTCGACTGGGCGCAGCCTCCCGTATCTCCCATCCCAACGCGACCTTTTCCTTACAGTGAGGAAAGGACACGTGTATGCGAGTGGGACGTACGAGAAGTCGTTGCATGAATCGACGAACAATATTACTTCCCTCCCGAAAATCGTTGTTCTGGATTCGTAGATACGGGCTTTGTTATTATCGATACGCACTTCCCACCTTACTCGGTATTGTTGCCATTTGACGAGTTGATCGTCATTTCGTGGACGGCAGTAGAACCCCACTGGCCGCGCACTCTGTGCACCGAATGTCAGCGTTTCGAGCGCTACGAGTCCAGGGGTTTCCACTACCATGTGCGGAGTGAAGACGAGCATAAAGAAAGAGCCACACGGCTGAGACCATCCACGTCGGACTCGGAACTAACCAGCGAGCGACGACGAGATTTGATACGGAAACGAGACACGTGAAGCGTGCCAAAACCTTTTTGTTCCAAACGACGGGCGGTAGCCCGGTGGGAAGCCCGACAGTATTTTTTGGATTCAATTTGGGTCTTTCTATTTCCGCGCCACGTCCGCGCGTGCATTCCGCGACGCGGGAAACTAACCAACTTGCTCCATTTGACCAACACGGGGGATTTCAGTTCCGTCTGTGTCCCCACACTCAATTTTCAAAAATCCTTGGCACACCCCATCTTGCTGTTTTTTCTGGGCCTCTTGCCGCATGACTAACACTCCGAACGGAAGACAGCACAGGGCGTGAGGTTGCGCGTCACAGGTCTAGGAAGAGTGGGGATCAGTCGCCTTTTACCTGCCTATGGAACAGGTGTGGGACTGAAGTGGAGGGGGGAAGTTTTTTTTATTTTTTTGCTAACATTGCGTCCTGCTGGTGAGGAGGGCTAGCTGGCGGGATTGGATTAGGGTACAACTGCAGTTGAGATGGTGGCTTAGCTGTTATAAGTCTGCGCCGGAAGGTGGTCAGGGGATGGGAGGTTAGGGTGGTGCGCCTGTTTTGCGACGGAGTGAACTACTTCTTCCTCCTCCTTCAAACTATGTGGTGGAGGAGGTCAGCCTGTCGTAGAAAGAGGAAAAATTGAAGTCTGTTTTTCATCGCTATGGGATTTTGGTGAGGTCGTTGGTCTATTGTTCTTCTCTCCCGAACTATGTGGTGGAGGAGGTCGGCTCGTCGAGAGATGAAGAAGAGTAGAGGGTGAAAGGAAATGGGAGGAGGGCTGACTGTTTTGTTTTCGCCAAAGCCGGGTAATGGCCCCGGTATCTCAAACCTTCAAAATTCTATTCAGTTGCTTCTGGCTGTTATATTCATAGATATGCGGTCAGAACGACGTTGGTTGGTGCTGGAAGTAGATGGCGGGATATCAAGCGTCCTACCAGTGAGGGGGTTAGCTGGTAGGATGGAAATAGGGTACAGCAGCAGCGGAGATGGTGGCTCTGCTGCAGTAAATCTTGCCGGAGTGAGGTAAAGACTATGGATGGGGGTTTCTGAGACGTTTTCTGAAACTTTGCCTAGGTGAGTGGGAGAAGATGGTTGGATATCAAGCGTCCTACTAGTGAGGGGGCCGGCTGGTAGGATGGTAATAGGGTACAGGCAGCAGCAGAGACGGTGGCTTTGCTGCAGTAAGACTTGCCAGAGTGAGATAAAGAGGATGGAGGGGGGTCTGAGTCTTTTCCTGAAATTTTTACCTATTTTCGGTATCTTGTTTGTATTTCTTAATCTAGCTCTTAGCCTAAGCCGGGTCGTGGCCCCGGCATCGCAAGCTTTTAAAATTCCTTCAAAATTTTATGTTAATTTGTATATGGGACGCTGGGCCCGGTTCCCAGCACGTGCTGCTCCCCACGAATAGATTGGAGCTTTGTTCCCAGTGAAAAAGACCACCCCGCTGCCCTCAGAAAGTCGGAGGACCGGTAGGCTGTTGTTTCGAACAGGCACATGGCCTACGGGTAGGTCCGTGTGGGGCCTGCCCTTGGTCCCAAAGTGGCAAAAAATGGAAATATGTCGAATCGGCCCGGCGATTACTTGACAGGCAAAATGATTTTAAAAATATTTTTTTCTGATAATTTTTCCTGGAAAGATCACGACATAATCTACAGACCCTCAAAGTTTTAGAATTTTCTGTGAATTCTTCTGAGCACGAAAAATCGCCAAAGTCGTCGCTCTGAAATTATGGGACTACCATCTTCACCCAAATAGAACGCCTGGTAATTATCGCCATATCTGAGCTGAAAGTTGTGCCAAACACAAGCTATAATGGCCAGGCGTTTTATACGGGTGAAGGCGGCAGGCCCTCCGGTTGGCAACGGTCGCCGCCCTCCCCAACAAACCTGCCCACTTTGCAGGAGGCAGGTAGAGGGGTGGTTTAAGCTGCCAGCCAGCAACAGATATTCCAGGAGCTTCTTGGTACGCCAAGAGGCAATACCACCGTGGCTGAGAAAAAGTGGTGGTGGGGGGGGGGGGAGTGTACACCTCAGCTGCGGCCCCCACCCTTTCCCCCCCTCCTTCATATAGGACACGCAATGTGTAATAGCGGCACAAAATTTGTGACCAACAACCGCCACCCTTTCCTTTTTCCCATTTTCATAAATCACATGCTGGGTCTGGAAA